AAGTGTAACTGCAAGCCTATTAAGTTTATGAACGAACTTATAACAAACATGTCATTCAAAGGTAAAACGTTAAAACTAAAGGCGTATATTATGAAGAATACAGGTAATCTGTTTGGGACTGATTGGTTAGAACAGTTTCAACTTTTGGATATGCCTATTAACTCATTATGTCAAAAAGTCGAGAATTTCTCTGACAAAGCAGAAAAGTTGAATAGTGAACTAAAAACAAATTTTCCCAACGTTTTCAGTGGAGGACTAGGAAAATGCACAAAAATGTCTACTAAGTTTGAGTTAAAGCCAGATGTAAACCCAGTTTTTAAGAAAAAAACGTATCATTCCATTTGCCTTGTTAAATCAAACTGACAAGAAGTTGAATTGACTTGAGGAATTGGGAGTTCTGGCAAACATTGAATATAGTGAATGGGCATCTCCCACAGTTTATATTAAGAAAAAGAGCAAAGAAATTTGTGTATGTGCTGACTTCTCTACATGGCTGAACAGCGCCGTAAAGGATCGCCATTATCCCCTTTCAAGTCCAGAGGAGATATTCGCTAAGCTCAGTGGAGGAAAATATTTTTCTAAGATTGACGTGGACGAGGAATGCTCGAAGCTCCTTTGCATAAACACACACAAGGGTTTATACAAATTTTTAAGACTTCCATTCAGAGTTAAGGTCGCCCCTTCCACTTTCAACACAATGTTAAATTGTTTGGATTTTGCAGTGGTCTATCTTGATAACATCCTAATGATAAGCAAGAGCATCCAGGAACACAAATCGCATGTCTGGCAAGTGTTCAGGAGGATCCAGGATTACCAATTCAAATTAAAAGATGGGAAGTGCTAGTTTCCCTTAGAGAGGATTAAGTACTTGGGGCAAATAATTGACAAAGACGGAAGACATCCTGACCCAGATAGAGCAACGGCAATAAAGAATATGCCAGAACCAGAAAATGTGTCGGCTCTTCAAAGTTTTTTTAGGTCTTGCCAATTATTACGTTTTATTCCCCAAACTAAACAGTTTGAGAGCTCCACTTAATGAATTATTGAGAAAAGATAAAGAGTGGGAATGGACAACCAAATGCCAGGAAGCATTTGAGAAAATAAAAGAGGTCCTTACATCAGATCTATTCCTAAATCATTACAATCCAAACCTTGACATCATTGTAGCCAGCAATGCTAGCTCCTATGGCATCAAGGCGTGCATTTTACACAAGTTTTAACTTGTGTAAAATTTATGGGTAAAGCCAATCCCCCTATCTAGGACGCTATTACCAGCTGAAAGGGGTTAATCAGAAATAGAAAGAGAAGCCTTAGGAAACATTTTTGCGGTGACTAAATTTCATAGATTTATTCATGGAAGGCACTTTCTGTTGCAGACAGACCATCGTCACTCCTTACTATCTTTGGATCAAAAACGGGTTTGCCAACATATACGTCTAATAGACTGCAAAGATGGGGAACCATTCTCATCAATTATAATTACAAAATGGAGTTTCTCCCATCCACTAAAATCTGTCATGCAGACGGGTTGTCTAGATTGATACCTAAGTATGCTGAACCCCTGGAAGACACAGTCATTGCTGCCATAAGAAAAGAGGTCGAAATAAAAAGAACCTTGTGCAATACTGTTAGGGAGATTCCTATGACAATTGACGAGATAATAGACAAAGCATCCGATTATGAGTTTATAAAGGAAGTAAAGGACAAAGTAAATAGTAAAGACCAAAATATCTCCGAAGTTTATTCACTCTGTAACGACATACTAATGTACAGAGACAGAGTAGTAATCCCATCTACACGACAGAAAAGAACATTAAAGAAATTCCATGTTGCCTATCCAGGAACTTAAAAAATGAAGAGTCTGATGAGGATTTACGTCCACTGGATCAACATAGACAAGGATATTGAAAACACTGTAAGATTGTGCAAAGGATGTGCTTTTGCTGCTAAAGCACCACCCAATAAAATTCAATCCCTGGCCTAAAACCGATCGTCCGTGGTTGCAGATGCACATTGATTTTGCTGGCCCACTTGATGGTTCTTGCAACCTTGTAGTAGTTGACATTTATTCCAAGGGGCCAGAAATATTGAAATGTAAGAAGCCGACTGCAGAGGTGACAGTAAAGTTTTTGCACAAGCTATTTTCCCCATTTCAGAGTTGTTGACTGTATCGTAACAGACAATTCCACACAGTTCACATCCTGTGAATTTAAGGATTTTTGTCAGTCATTCCTGATGAAACATATTACCACAGCACCATATCACCCGAGTAGTAATGGACAGGCAGAGCGTTTTGTGGACACTTTCAAGAAAGCACTGAAGAAGGCAGGAGGGAGATACTCCCACTGATACAGCTATACAGCAGTTTTTGCAAATATAACATGTAACCACTAATAGCAGTGCTCCATCTGCTAAGATGCCAGCAGAGGTCGTGTTTGCCAAGAAAATAAAATCAGCATTTGACAAATTCCTTCTGAGTGAAACGAAAGCGGGAAATAGGAATAAAGTGCTTTAAGATCAGTGGAAAGGTTTTTTTTGGTGTATTTGGGAATAATAAATCTCACTGAAAGATAGGAACAATAGACAGACAAATTGCTAACAAGATTTACATGGTTCAGGGACCGAAGTTTATACACAAACGTCATGTAAACCAAATTAAAAAACAGTATGAAAGCGTAGTCAACAGGGATCCCATAGAAGATGACACTATGGATGTCATGTTTGCCACGTCTGAGGTTCAAATACTGCAATCAGTGTCAGAGCTCAGAGGCCCAAAAGAAAAAGGAAATTTATGGAACCTTTAGAACTTAAAGTGAAAAGAAAAAGATATTGAACATCTTTCATTTCATACCATATCTACAGAAAAAGGAAAAGAATGAGTAAAAAAAAAAAACATCTCCTCACTGATGAACTTTGAATTACCAGAAAAGCACAATATGCTTTGGATTATTGGAAATTATTTACATTATAATTTACAATTAAACTTATCCAATTTTTTCATTATTTAGGAATAATGAATAGAGACCTTAATAAAAAGGGACTGTTGTTAACACGTAAAATGTTTGTCGTAAAACTAAAAAAAAAATTTTGAACATAATTCCAGTATATAGCTTTTTCAAAGGGGTTGTTTAAGTTTTTTTTTTTTTGAAAAGGGTTTATTTGGTTGAATAAAAAGTATTGTGTGGTAATTATAAAAAAAAAAAGGACTCCATATGAAGTCAGGTTGAAAAGTGGGGGTGTTGTGGTGTCCTCCTTCTAAAGAGTCTATTTTAGACTCTTCTGCCCACTATAAGATTAGTAGGAGAGAAGGCCTTAGGGGAACAGTCGAATAGATTGAATGCTGAGTCAACTGACACACACTCACTAGTCGTGTAATACTCTTCTGTTGTACTTACTGTTTAATATATAATATATCTGCAACACTTGTTTTGTTATTTCTTTAACCATTTACTTGGTCACAACACTCAGCAACCCTGATTGATTCGGAATGTGCTATTTCTCAATGACATAGCCTTCAGAGGGGTCTGTGAAAATTTGCCTGTCATCAGTGTGACTTTGGAGTAGAGGAAACAGTTTTGCAAGCGTTTTACCATTGTCTTCAGGTATGCCTGTTCTGGGACTATGTCAGCGAGTTGATGACTTGCATCGATCCCAAGCATCTCGTGGCCATTGATCTCGATAATGCTCCATCCCCATTCTCTGGGGTGAAACAAATGGTGTTTCTGACATTAAAAGCTGTGGCAAGAATGATGGCATCTTTCAATAATCCAATGCACCTTCAGAGTTCAGTGTCACATTTTTTATCATCTGTTAAAATACATGCTATATGAGTTTAAAAAAAAAAAAAAAAAAAAAAAAATCAAGAATATACTCACCAACAATCAATGGCTTAGGTAAATCTGTATAAATCTACCAATCAAGCTAGGGTTAATTATATTTGCTGTAAATTTATTTATAGTAGGATATTTGTATTCTAATGTTTTTATAAAACTGCATTGAAACAAATTTTAGAAGCATACCATTTTAATCTTTAGTACATTATTTCCCCTTCAACTCTATATTATAGTCACCTAATCCCAATAGCTTAATTCTCAATTTCAGTCAAGGTCATTTTTTTTTCTGTTGCCATAGCAGGGAATGACATCACATCTATGAAATTCAAATACGCATGTAGTGTAATAGATATTGGTATGGAAAAGTAGGATTGATGAGCCGGGTTCAAATCTCGGGTTAATCTGTTGCATTCACTTTCACACCATCAGCTACATGGGTCAAATAGCAGAATAAATATGGCTCTCTCGCCTTAAGAGGCAACCAGTTAAGAAGAAGGAAAACTTATAATTCCAAAATCATGAAGAAGGCAATAAGGAACCACTCCACTATCTTTCCCAAGAATGCATGGTAATTTGCTGATAATAAAAATGTTAAAGAATCTGTGAAGAATCATGATTGCTTCTCTTCTGGTGGAAAGTATGGCATTTAAAAAAATATATATATATCATTAAGTAACTGAAAGTCACCTGTAATGGCAGGACAAATAATTATCTTTTGTGGTTTTCTTCTTAAAGAAATTTGGCTAGAGGCAAATCTGTATAACTCCTGATTCTCAAAATTTTTGTACCAATCAAGCTAAGGTTAATTAAATATTTGCTGTAAAGTTATTTAAAGTAAGATACTTGTATTCTAATGAAAGAAATTTTACAAGCATACCACTTTAATCTTTAGCATTCTACATTATTTATAAGTATTTCTTACTCTTCTGCTGTATATGATAGCTACTTAACTGCAATAACCTAGTTTTCAATTTCAATCCAGGTTGTTTTAGCTGTTGCCATAGTAGGGGATGACATCACAACCATGAAATTCAAATAAACTATTATTCAGTGATCAGAGTCTCCTGCTATAGCAGGACAAATATTTTCCTCTTAAAATGATTTTGCTGATAGTATTAAAAGGGAAAAGCGAAATCAGACCAGAGTGTTTATGACAAATATACTTACCAAGAATCAATGCAAATCTCACAGAAACAATGCATGCAAGGCAAGATTATTTCTGATTTTCTCTCCATGCAGATACAGCATTCCTCATCTTCCTTGTCTGAAACTAAGCCAATCTGCTCCACTCTATAAACAAGAAAAAGAACAAGAAATTTACATTCTTGTTAAGAAGATACAACACACAGTCATTATAATGTCTTGTTTTTATTCATCATGCAAACAGATTAAATATTCTAACATAAATTCCACATTTCACATTGTCATTTAAATGTTTGCAATTTACACTTTTCTAGAATCACAGGAATAAACAAAGTTGCTGGATTGCTTAAATTTCAGATAAAAAAAGGCTCTCAAGTGATTACCTCATCGTTTAACATTAACCTTTTTCCTAAAATAGTTTTCACTTCAATCAGTAAAACCTTTAGCCCTCTGCATTATTACTTCTCCCTTCTACTGTACATGGTAGTCACTTAACTGCAATAGTCTAGTTTTCATTTTCAGTCAAGTTTGTTTTTGCTGTTGCCATAGCAGGAGACAACATCACAACTATGAAATTCAACTAAACTATCATTCAACGAACAGTCACCTGCTATAGCAGGACAGATATTTTAATTTTGTCATTGTCTATAGAATGCTAAAAGAGCAAAAAATAAAATTAGCCTAGTGTTTATTACAGTGGGGGAAATGGTGAGTATGACTGTAACAGAACAATTGAAAAAATCAAAGATTTATTGGTCAAGGTTAAAAGAGGCACATGGTTGAGTAAATGTAATAAAAAACTTTCTTGAAGAAAGAAGCATCACTTTTATTTGTGATGTATATTTGAATATTCATAGCATCCTTTAATATAAAAAAAAAAATTGAACATTGACTCAGAAGCAGAGGTATCTTCAGTTTACAATATGTTATTGTTGCATCTATCTATATTTCTGAGATGAGGTATTATGTACACTATTTACATTATTAGGACTATTGTCCCCATCTTTGTTGCCATATTTATTACAGCGTTTCAGCTGTTGTACATTTCGGCCTTCTTCAGGTGGTTGGAATGTTGAACTGAACCCAAGGACACATGGCACAGTGGATAAAGGTGTTAGTTAAATCCAGTGACAGGACCCAAAGAGTGGAAGTTCAATACCTGGTTAAGGCGGTGGAGAACTTGGAGAGGGGAATTAACAGGAGTTAACTGATAACTGACATCCATTAAACATGGCACATGGAACTAGAACAGTCTACCCCAGTGAGTGAAATAAAGGGTTTGATATTCCAACCACCTGAAGAAGGCCGGATCATACAACAGCCAAACGTTGTAATAAATATGGCGACAAAGATGAGGACAATATCCGAATAATGTAAGTAGTGTTAATGTTACAATTGTCCACATCGTCAGGGTCCTTCACATAGCAAGATAGAAAATGATTGCAACTGCCTACTTTTGCTGTTCAATTTTCATAACTGTCCCATATAACTAAGGAATGTAAATTAGTCAGCATAACTACTGCTATTTAATTGTGCACCAGTAGTGACACCTGTGCTAATCAGTTATGGTTTCATCAAGTGGACAATTCATCAAAAGAACAGAAAAGCAAATTATCATTTTTTTTTTTAATTATTTCACCTCAAGCAAGGGGATAAAGTCACTAATGCACAAAAGGTTACTCAGGATAAAAGGAAATAGATTGAAGGAAACTAAGAAAACATTACTGAGGAGAAAGGATAATAAAAGAACAGGATACAAAAAGACAGAAGATACCGATTGATGTTGCAGTTTAAAAGTTTTGAAGATTATAGTTGACAGCAAAATAAGAAACTGGATGAGAGTTTTATAGATGAAAAGTCTGAGAGTAGAAACTATTAGATTAGGACTTACGGTTACACTTAGCAATTTCAACAATAAAATGATGGGACCTAGCTGCCAATCTAGTACTATGCTTAAATTCATGATGTTAAGGTACCAAAGAGAAAAGCTCATCAGAACAATTGACATGAAAATATTTGTAGAAAAGGCAGAGGGAAGCTTCTTTATGGCAATGGATAAATGATTGAAGATTAGAACAGATAAAATTGCAGGTTTTACTTTGGATTTTGTCCAGAATTTCAAGATACATAGCTGAAACTGTAAGCGTTCTGAAAGCAAAGGAAATGTTTGTCGCAGATTAATTCCACAACGCAGAGAACAAATCACTGTAAGTTCAGACTCAAATATTGGGAGCAGAAAGAAATGCCGAAAACTCGATTCACAGGTACTATCTCACAAATCTCAATGCACATAACCAGTCAGAAAAATAACTCACTCTCCGACGAATGCAGTAGCCAAAATACATCAATTTTTCCCTACCAATTCAAGAACACCAACTGCTTTTATCGTCTGAGCATTTTTTTCATTCATCGACAACTGGGAGAGGACGCCAAATTTTTGCATATCCTAATACTTTTATAGAGACTCCTGCAACAGACTTGTTTTTTAATCTAAATATTCCATCTTCAGTATTTCATGCAGAATACATGCCCTTTTTTTTGGTAAGTAATTTTCTTTTCCATTGTAGTATACACACAATGCACTGTCACTTGGTTTGACGAAGTAAGTCACCATTTTTTTCACAATACTCCCCCGATCTCATTATCACAAATTGAACAGCTTGGCGCAACTCTCTATCCTGGTGCTTCGTTGTAATGGAACTATCTCCCTTACGCATGTCGTAGAGTCGTCTCCTGAGGAGTCATCAAATGTATCTCGAGTTTCCGGAATCTCTGCATCTGTGGAAGCATCAGATTTGCAGATCTCAATTATCCGATCAATGTCAGACGATGAACCATCATCAGATTCACTTGGCAATGTATCAGAATCAACAAAAAGGCGAAGATCTTTTACATGCCGTGGCATCCCGTTGATTATTATTGTTTGTGAACTTGCAATTTCAATCACATGACCCACTTGATACCTGGAGGTACACCGGCCATGGGGAGCTTTCACCCATACTCTGTTCCCAACTTTGTATATATCGTGTTACTTACAACAATCAGGTGGTAATGTTGTAGTAATTCCCTTCACTTTCAGTTGGTAATGGTGAATCATATTGGCAGGCGTATTAGTCAACGATTTATCATCTTTTGGCACGATATTATGCCAGTATACTGCCTCCATTATCGAACACTGCTTTCTTGCTGCAATTCTCTTTATGCTCTGATGAGATCTCTCCACTATACCAGTTGAGCAAACCAGTTGAGGCAAAAAAAATATTCAAAATAGAAACCAGGGGAAAAACCAAATCTAACATACCACACCTGACACATCAAGTATCTCATGTCCTGTTGGCTTACATCTTTTTTTACACCAAATGCAAAAGAATCACAAGTTTTGAGGTGATAGATATGAAGCTTATTAGGTGAAAAATTATCAGTGTTTTCTTTTTCAACAAAATAAGCAATAGTACACAAAATCACAGTCTACAAAATTTATTACTGAAAATGGTTAAGTTCTAAAGAAAATCATGAGAAATTAAAAGTATGTCTGAAAAATGTTAAAGGGAAAATAAAAGACGTACTTAGGATACATTAGACAAAAGAAAATTACATAATCTCAATATTCAACAAAAAACTAACAACTACAGCTTTATGCCACTGTTGAGTCCTGAATAAATATCCATTCCAGTGCCAGTAAAAAAATTTTTTTAATATTTCTACTCAGGATATTCTTATTCCAACACCCATTCACCTTATTGATATTCTCAAGAAGTTCAAACCTAGACAATTCCATAAAGGGTCTTCAAAAATATTCTCTCAGCCTTTATGTGTGTGTTGGTCAAAATCGAGAGGACTTTGCATAGAAAACTTAATGCAAATACAGTTTTCTTTCATTCTTATTGAGATTTACTTTGTGGATTGAAGACTGAAATAAACACCAAGACAGTCAAAAACCAAATGAGAAAAAAAAACAGTTTCTGAGTTGGAAGATTGCGCATCCTTCTGGTTAATAAATTAATGCTTTGAAAATAAATATTCATCATTTTTCAACCAATGTTTTGCGTTCTTGTGAACAATAAAAATTATGCTTCATGATCCCTTTAAAGAGTATTTAAGCAAAGTTTCAAGACCAGACAAGGCATTAACGAGAGACAGGCAGCAACTGTTCATGACATATCGGCTTAAAAGAAATTTCCTTACTCATTTACCTGTCTTCCTCATTAAGCTACCTGACACTTACACTTCCCTCCTCACTTTCTCCATTGCCTCTTTTTTCTTACATATATATGTAAAGAAATCACATTTCTTTTCATCTTAACAAACAACTACAAAACAAGGACTGTAAAACATTTGTTGATTTGTTTTCTACAGATTATCAACCCTTTGCCAGAAAATATTTTTAGATTGTAAGAATTTTTTGGCAATAATAATGATTTATTGATTTCCTACTAATTAACTTAACTCATCACTAGGGAGAGAAAAGATGGAATCATACTTTTTCCAAGACTATTTGCAAGTAAGTGAATATAACAAAAATAAATAATTTTAAGTCATTATTCATGACATGATGTTCACATCTATACTACTTGTTTTTCTATGTGCTGTGATACTATGGACAGCCACATAGAAAAGAAAGAGGAGATTTTATCTTGATCTCAAATGTGTCTGTTTGATAGACCAGCGGATGGTTACTTTTAAAGTTCAGTCTTCTATGTAACATCCTTTAACCAAAGAGTAATGGGAAGTAAAGAGGTGGATGTTGGATTTGTGAATACAGAAAACAGAAGTGGTATTCAGACTCAGCCATTCAATTCCCAATTTCAAGTCATTATCCATGACACCACCCACACATCCAAGCTTACAGTACTTGGTATTCCCAGGCGGTTACCCATCTAGATACTGACCATGCTTGACATTGATTAACTTTGGTGATTGTACAATAATTGCATCATATAGGATCACTTTGCATCCTGTGAACTGATAACAAAAAAAGTTTATTATAGAACAAAAATAATCACCAGTGTTGAAACATGGCTGCCAAGAAATAATAATAATATCTCCTCCTACATAATAAACCATTTCTAAAAAATTAATAAGAAAATAGTAAAGAACATTAATTAAAAAATTCAAGATAAATGAGACAGAATTACTTACTGACTTGC